AAAAAACTGACAGAAAAGGAAAAAGAGTTTTTAAATACTAAAAAAGGGTCTAAAAAGGAAGGGAGACAACAAGTATTCAAAAAATCAAGCACTCAATATATCCCAAACAATTCAAATCCAAATTTTTTACGCCACTTAGCTCCCAGGCAATTTGTTCTCCAAGCCCTGAGAGCTGAACTAATAGATTGTAACAAATGATTCTATAAAAACAGTGTAGTGCAAAAAATGCAATTGTGTCTGAAAACTAATTATCTTAAATACATCTAATGTTTAAAAACAAAAGTAAGTACGTTCAGTGCCAAATGAATATCACAATATCAAAAGTGTGCTGTGCAAACTGTCCAAAAATATAAATAGTGCAAAGTTATACAAGTATTCTAGAGCAGTTTCAAATATCATACAAATTAATTTATAGTGTCCCAATTCTAAAACTTAATCTGTTTATAGTGACTTTGGTTATCTCTATCCATAAAACTCTTACCAGCTACCATCTTTTTGGGTTTTTGTGGTTACCTGAGGCCTTGCCCTATACACTTGGCATAGTTGCGTCACTGCCATGCGGTTGCAACATGTCTGTACCTGGACACAGAGGGGATAGTCCTACTGCAATGAATGGCCCTAGCTCACACTCTCAACAGTTATGGGGATGTTTGTTCTTTGCCTTTTGAAGGTACTGACATCTGTAATCTGGAACCTGGTTGCCCTATGGTTATAAGGCCCATCTTGTCATATGAGTCCTCCTTAACTCTGCCAGGTGAAACAGCTGGAGGGCCAGAGTTGTAGGAGTCCCTGTCCTACAGCTACAAAACCTTTCTGTTGCACCTGCTCTTTGAGGTATTGCTTTATAGGGATTGGGAGCGTGCAAAACGCTCAAACACCGAAATCCCATTATTTCCTATGGGTATGGTTCACACCTGGGTGTATTACAGGCCGTATGAACGAGCTACAAAACGCCCTACGCCCAAAGAAGTACAGGAGCTTCTTTGGGGCGTATTTGCCGCGCGTATCCATTGGGATACAGCCAGGTAGCCCTCGGAAACGAGCGTTTGTCATACGTTTTTTTTTTACCGCGAATCGCGGTAAAAACACACGTCACGAGACGCGCATATTCGATACGCCTAGGTGTGAACCCAGGCTAAGGGTTCCTGGACATCCCTGGAGTACTTACTGGATCTGTTCTCATTTGGGAAGCAAGACCGTGGTCTATACCCACTGTGGTATACCATTAAACCAGTAGAGGTCGATCTTACATGTCCTGCTGTCGGACAGAGTGTGGTTTACTCCACTGTTCCTAATGAATTTGTGATTGAAGTAACTGAGAACATCTTGATCTTGCCTGAAGTGCTGTGGAGTTGAAAAAATTGTTAGCGGGGAATGCCTTAAAAACTCAGTGGGATGTGTTTACTTACTTCTCTGGTGGTTCCGCAGGCTTAAGAGGAAGGTCCTTTTAAGTGATCTATGCTTTTTGTTTTACCCAGGCGAATGAATGGTCTTTGCCATCCAAATAAGACTCCTGGAGGTTGCATCGTTGGATTTGGGGAGTCAGGCGCATCTGTAGCCCCTGTAACTCTTCGAGACTAGGATAGGTAGGATTTTTCAGCATGTTCTCCTTTAGGGCTTGTCCCAGTGATGCCCTCTTCTTGCAGATAAGTGGGAGTTGAGCTTGGGTCTCTGCTTCACCAAATCTTTTTTTTCCTCTTTGCTATTTTGGTGAGTAACTACTTTCATCCCCTGTATTTTCTTATATTGGTAGCTCCAGTGTACCTTACCTGTTTGCTTATGTTCACTTAGTTATGTTGACTTAGTTCCTAGGTGGTTCAGGAATTACAATTATTCTTCTTGGTGGTACTTCTGATGCTAGTCATTCTTAGGGCTTGTCTTGGTGAGGTGGATGTTTGTCCTAGCAATCATTCCTTCTTATTTCTTGCAACTTTGGAGGATCAAGTGATTTTTAGGCATGGTGCTTCCTCCAGCCTAGGATGACTCGGTTTTCCTTTATCAGGACATTGTTCTCAAATTCCTCTGTCTGGTTCCAGTTCTTAGAAAGGAGTTCCCACTCTGGTTTTCATTCCACACTTTTGGCTTCATCACATAGACCACGACAAGGCATCGGACTATGTTTCATAGTTTCTGCTCACATATTGTAAACAAATAGTCTTTTGGCACCAGGTCTAGCTCTCCCGGCCAACTTACCACCTGGTCTCATCCTTCTTCCATCCGAGGTTCCGGCCTTATCCGGTGCCAGTTTTGGGTATTGGTCATTCAAGCGGCTCTTGAGCTGCATGCAGTCCACAGCCCCCCAGTTCCTTGTTCACATAAGGCCTGTTAGCAGTTGTTGTTGCTGTGGTTCACCCCACAATTGGACTGCTTTTTGGACGTCCCAACAATTGATGAATTTTTGTGTCCTTCGATCAATGAGAAAGAAAATAGGATTTTTGTACTCTGTAAAATCCTTCTCTTGGAGTCCATTGAAGGACACATGCCCCTCCTCTCTGTGTTTATGATTATGCTCTTGGTGCTCTTTGTGATGCTTTCCTTCAAAACTGAGGGGTTATCATGGGCTGGTTTCCATCTTTTTTTTGTCAACCCAATCCTCTTTTAGTTGTCAGCTTCTTCAGATAACATTGGTGCTTTGAGTGTGAACCCTACACATACAAATGTGCCAGAATCTGTATTTGAAATATGAAAATGGTACTTTCTGTGGAACTCTTTACCCCAACCTGTCCATCTATCTCCCTCTCTGACTGCCTTTAGGCGATCACTAAAGACTCATCTCTTCAGGGAAGCCTATACCACCTCGAACTAACCGCTCAACCATCACGTTTTCAAACAATTCATCCCCACACAGCTTCCTCCTCATGTATCACTTCCCCCTCCCTTTTAGATTGTAAGCCCTCAGGGGCAGGGCCCTCCTTACCATCTTGTCTTGTATTGTGATTGTAATGTCTTCCTTATATTGTAAAGCGCTGTGCAAACTGTTGGCGCTATATAAATCCTGTATAAAAATAATAATAACTTGCTGGTGACTGGTGCAGCTTTACTACAGCTTTACTACAGGAAGAGAGGTCATTTGATTGATGAAGACATCGAGCCTCTGTTAGGTTTCAGCTGCTGTCTATTCTTGTGGTGTAGGGAGCTGTCACCTTGGATGTAAATTTAAAGGGGAATCTCCCCCATGAGAAACCGTTTCACTGTGATTATCTGACGTCAATAAAGATGGATAGATAAAGTGGAAACCTTTGCTGGTGACTTAATTCTTCTTTTTGCTATGTGAGGCGCTATCCGCTGGTCACTCCAGCATGCACCAAAGGAATACTGGGTGATAGATCAGTCAGGAGTGCGATGGGACATTCTTGTGATCTCCTCACTGAGGACACACACAGTAAAAACCCAACAGAGATTTTAACACTTCCCCAATTTAAAACAAACAGTAGCTGTCTGAAAAGAAATGTCAGTTGACTACAAAGTAGAAGGTTACTCCATAGAAGAGCGATGTATGTCTGAAACAAAGGACAAGTGTTACCTTGTGATAAACTGTTACTTTATAACTCTTAATGGGACTAAGATGCCTTCCCTTAAAATATACGGATTTGATTACAAACAATATAATTACTAAATGAAGAAGGTTATAGCATGCATTGTTATGTAATTACTACCATTTTGTTTTCCCCTGTACAACTTGATAACAAGGAACCAAGTACATGTATTTATAATTCATAATGCTGATATAAGGACAAGAAAAGCCTATGTGCCTTTTAGTGTATGATGGAGGTAGATGAAGAAGAACATATGGCAGCCATTTTGTTCAGACAGCATTATGATCCATTGAAACCAGTGGCTAGATGTTTCCTGCGTGTTGCAGCAGTTTGGTTGACACAACTTCCAAGCCTCTCTTACTAAAATCTGTCAATTTTAAAACCTTTCCCTCGCAGTGGGGCTATCCCTACTCTGAAAGGATTAAGTACTCATTTTTCTTTTAGGGGGCTGAAATAAAGCAGATATACTCACATGATCTTTGGTCCACTCGAGCTGCACAGGCATGGGTACTGAGTATACTAATTTTATACTTCACAGCATGGGCACGCTTTGCAGGATTTGTAATCCTTTCAGCGCCCATCGGAACGTTACTGTAATATTCTGATGGCACATAGACTTTTTAAAGCTTTGTTTTGTAAATGCTAAAAAGCATCTGTATTCAGCAAGCATTTACCAAGGATACTACAATTATATGAAATCCTTCTGCAGTCTGAGAGTGATGATGCTACCTGCTCTTGTGCCTCCCTTATGGACCGGGGCTGAGAAAAATCACTTGATTCCCAGCGGATATCAGAATACCCAAACAGTGACTGCAGCTGGTTGTCTTCGTTCACTGCTCGGCCAACATTTTTCTATCCGGCTCAAATTCAATCCATGTATGGGTATGGCCATCTTACATTTTATTGTTTTCTTATAAGGTTTTTTCACAAAGAAATGAAGCAGTTGTTTTAAAAAAATATATAATTTGATCTATTGCGGTCTGTAATAATAGATGCCTTCCTTTTGTCCACAGCTAAATATGCTAAATGGAGAGAGAGGAGGAGGAGGAGGTGGTGGTATAAAGTTGCAGACAGCAGGAAATATTGTTAACCTAACAAATCTTTTCTGTGGTTACCATCATGTTCAAGAACAAGGCAGAGCAATAGTCCAGTCACAGGACTGTGTGCAAAGAGAAAATGGTGGCAATGTACTCCTGCCTAGGGGAACCTAGCTAGAGGGGATTAGCAATTGCAAGGTCACAAGGGGGTTAAGCGGTGCTGCATCATTATTTGGACACTGAGATTCAGAAGTGTTGTAATCTTTTCCATTTTAAAGAGCCCTTTTTTTTTAAGACTTGATTTTTCTGTTGTAGAAGTTGGAGGATCAGGAGCTAAAAGCAAAGCATCTAAAGGATAAACTGAGAACAGAACAACAGAGGCTCCGACAGAGATTAAAACAGCTTCTACCCTCCAATGGCACTGAACGAATCCGAGCTGACAGCCTTGACTCCTCTGCCTTGTCATCTGAGAGATCAGACTCTGATCAAGGTGAGTACTGGGTGGGGATGGTCACAGCTTTGTGGGGTATCACTCCTATAACTTACAGCAATCTTCTTTTTTCTTTATGTTTACAGAGGATTTGGAGGTGGATGTGGAAGGAATAATCCTGAATGGTAATGAAGGAGACCTATTTGTGTCTTTCAGTGCTGGTATGGAGCACAGTTACTCCACTCCTGCTCACGCCTGGTTATGACGGCAGCAAGCATGCAAAGACTGGTAAAGCAGTAACAAGTTTTAGCTAGCAATCTCGGTAGCAGAAACACTTGCATTGTCTCTCCAAGAAGCGAAGGGGCAATGATCACATTACCTACCCTATTGTAAAGGGGAACCCAGTGTTTGCATAGCAGCTCTTTTCAAATGTTGGACTTCTGCTACCGTCTTACATGTTTTATTTTAGGCCCTTGTTAAGAACTTTTAAATGGTGGGGTATAAGCCAGTAATACTATGGGCACTGGATCCTTTCTGTTCAGCTATGCCATTTAGTTACATGGATCAGTTTCGGGTCAATTAGTTAAAGTACATATTACAAGCCGGGGGGCTTGACAGCATTTTTAAAGAAAGGTATTCGGATACATGACTGGACTATCTGGCCCGGAAGACTCGCTGTCAGGGCGAGAGAGAGAGAACCTTGAGCATTAAGTAACCAGCAACTGGTGCTACTGTGATGATCTAACTTATTGTACAAGTTCAATGCTGGGACGGCCTTCCCCACATCTCTGTGCACTGGTTGCACTGCTGGATGTGTGTAAAGAAGCACTTAACTTTGTGTGCACTTCAAGAAGCGCCACATTTTTATTTTTGATCCTTAATCTGAGCACTTGGATGCTGCTGGACACCTGAAGATTTTGTCAATGCCATTCTTGTGTTCTCACACCAAATAAACTTGCCTAACCCGCTGCAAAAAAAAAGGATAAAAAACTTTATAAAATATCAATTTTTAAGCCTGCGGGAAAGGGTTTCAGTGTTTACAGAATGGATATTAAATTGCGAGATCTTTTTCAATGTTACCTGCGCTTGCTGAAGACAACAAGCTTCTTGCTCAGGCCTGGATTAGCCAGTGGACAATGAACGGTCCTAATTCCGGACAGGGACTGAACAATCTTTATAACAGGTGCAGCCAACTTACATTCCAGAGCTCAACCTACATTTTTAATATACAGGTGTTGGCTCTGAGCAAAGAGATTTGATCTTCAATATAAGCTTTTTATATTGTAACCTCTATTTTAGTAAATGTGTTTTTGTTCTGTAAAATTGACTGCGTCTTATTTCTATATATGTTCACCTACTCCAGACCACCCAAAGTCCATTAAATCAGTGGGCCGAAGTAAGTGCATAATGTATATGGAGGACTACAGCTAGTGCATAATGTCTACGGAGGGCTACAGGTAGCGCATAATGTCTACGGAGGGCTACAGCTAGCGCATAATGTCTACGGAGGGCTACGGCTAGCGCATAATGTCTACGGAGGGTTACGGCTAGCGCATTATGTCTACGGAGGGTTACGGCTAGCGCATAATGTCTACGGAGGGTTACAGCTAGCGCATAATGTCTACGGAGGGCTACAGCTAGCGCATTATGTCTACGGAGGGTTACGGCTAGCGCATAATGTCTACGGAGGGCTACGGCTAGCGCATTATGTCTATGGAGGGCTACAGAAAAAGATATCACTGTTATTAGCATTATAGTAATATTTGCATCTCACAATATGTTATCCCTTACAAAGGGTCCATAAGATATTGTATAAAGTATTTAGGTGCAAAATGAGATAAGTGTAACTTCTGTATTTGTCTTGGCACATGTCTCTTTAAAAAAAAAAAAAAGAATTCCAGGAATTTAGAAAAACTTTCCCTTGCAGTGGGGCTGTCCCGGTTCTGCAAGGGTTAAGTGCTCATTTTTCTCTAGGGGCTGGAATAAAGCAGATATATTCAGCTGATCCTCGATCCTGTTGGGCTTCTAGACTAATCCCCCACAGCCTCTCCGATGGTCCATTGACGTGCATTAGATGTGAGGACACCAAAGGACATTCCACAGCCAGAGAGGTAAGGGCTGAATAACACGGGACAGGGGCTCAGGTGAGTATGTATGCTTTTGCTTTATTCCATCCCCTAGAGAAAAAGGGAGAAAACAAGCACTTAACCTTGAAGTGTGGGGGTAGCACCACTGCAGGGGAGAGGTTTAAGAATGTCTTCTTCAAACTGGGTGAGGGCTGTGAAGTTAGGGACACATG